ACTATAGTATCGCTTAACCCCGTGACATCTTAGAATTAATCCTTGGGTTAATTCAACCCTTGATTCTGAATTTATTCTAAGTTCGTTAGTTTTTTTTTCGTGTCTTACGCACACGTTCATATTATCTAAATAACTAAAATAAATATAGCTATTGAAAAATTTAATAAGCAATCTTACCGATTTTTGGAATACATTGATTATCCCAGTTATGTCAACCGTTTTCTACCATCATATAATTAAAGATTTGTGCTATCAAAAAAAAAAAAAAAAAATTCAAATATGCATCCAATTATGAAATAATAAAAGAAATACTACTTGCCAATACAAGTATTAGTTCTTTATTGTAATTAAAATTTAGAAAAATCACCAGAGAAAATGCAAAAATTATTAAATTATTATTTCATTAGTTATTTTAAAAACTAATTAATCCAAATAAAGTATATTGATTTAATATAAAAGATCAACTTTAAAGAGATAAAGAATATAAAAAAAAGAAAAAATATGAATAAAAATAAAATAAAATAAAAAAAATTTAAAATTATAAAAAAAGATATAAGGAAAGATTATCCGCCATTGCACGCAAAAAATCCATAACTGGCCGATTTTCTTGATCATTGAAAATTTCCATCATCCTTCTCTCCTTTTCAATATAATATATATTTTGCTTAGGCCTTGGTTCCCCACGGAGAATACGTTCAATCTGTGTATCAACATGCAGCTGTTCTTTTTGCAACTCACTTATTAATGTATCAATACTTACATGCTTTTTTCCAACTAGGGTATTCCACCGATTATGCCAAGCTTCAACGTTATTTTGAGTACGTGGAATACCTAATTCTATTAACTCATAAACGGACCAAAGCCGTGGTGAAAATAAAGGCAAACTGCGGACTACTATATCTTCATTTTGCGAACTACTTCTTACCCCTCCAATATAGTTATTTTCAAACCAAAGAATCAAATCACTTGCCTCAGAAGGCATTCTTGCCTTCAAAATTTCAAACGCTTCTAGAATTTTATTTGAAGGCAAGAATGC